TTTCCAGTTCTGTTGAGTCTTTATTTTATACGGCTATACCTCTCACTCATATCATGGGTATAAATCTTAAAGAATTCAATTTCCAGTAAACACAAGGGCCAGGAAGATTGTCCATAGTTGGAAGCCTGCCTCAGGAGCAGGGGGAGAAGGAAGCTGGAATAAAGAAGAATCACTAAGAAAATGATGGTTGGAGGGATCAGTCAGGACAGGAAATGTGTGCTGAAAGTAGATAAAGGACCAAACATGATAACCTCTCAGTATCTGTATTGCAAACCATAATGCCTAAAAGTAGAGCGAGAGGATGAGAGAAATTGCCTGCCATGGAGGCAGTGGGAGGGTGGGAAATGGGGGGGGGGTTATACTGGGGAGATTGGTGGTGGGGAATGTGCACTGGTGGACGGATGGGTGTTTGATCATTGTGACTGTAACTCAAACATGAAAGCTTGTAACTGTATCTCATGGTGATTCAATAAAAAGATAAAATAAAATAAAATAAAGAAGTCAATCTCCCCATAATAAGCTAAGAGCCCCTCACAGATTTTTTTACTCCTCCCACTTCTAAATAAGCAGAACAAAAATAAATACAATTTTGTATTCATCAATTGACAGTTTCCTGTTTGATTGTTCTCTTTTTCGGATCTTAATTATTATTTCTCCGCCTTGGGAACATCAGGATTAGATGCTTAGGAACTAATTCTGAGGCCTAGTGGAGGCCAGGGAGAGAAAGGAGAATAAAGAGATTGAGGGGAACAGGAGGGGCTAGTAGTCTCAGGTATACACACATACACACACACACACACACACACACACATAAACACACACACACATCTGTTCACTACTCTTGATGAGTTAGTATATACAAATCAGGTCTATGATATAATGCCATATTCTATTCACTTGATCAACCAAAATTAAGAATTACAGGTGCTATGACATAAAGGAATATTAGATAGAGGTCAAACACTCATTTGTATTCCATATATGTATCATTCTCAAAATGGCAACACTGTAGAGACAGAAACTAGATTACTGATTATCCAAAAGACAGGCACAGAATGGGGGCTAGAAGGAACTGGGGGCATGACCTGGATTGTGGCAGTACTTGCTTTAATTCATACATGAAACAGAGTAAATGTTCATGGAAGTAAACTGCTCAGAACTATGCACAAACACATGACAAGTAAGCATGGGGAATACTGATGAAATCTGTTCAGGGCCTGTAGTGTGCTAACAGCAAGGTACCAAGCTGATCTGCAGGATTCACAGTGTACTATAGGGACGCACACCGTCTCCATCTAAGGAAGTTGCACGAGGAGTCCACATGTCTCTCTACTGCTTATGCAACTTCCTATGAGAATTATTCTCTCAACATAAGAAAACTTTTATTTATTTATTTTTTAATTTTACTGAATTACCATGGGATAGTTATAAGCTTTCATGTTTGGGTTACAATCACACAATGATCAAACACCCATCCCTCCACCAGTGCACATTCCCCACCACCAATATCCCCGGTATATCTCCCCCCCCCCCCCGTTTCCCATCCTCCCCCTGCCTCCATGGAAGACATGATTCCCCATAATCTCTCTCTATTTTGGGGCATATGGTTTGCAATACAGACCCTGAGAGATCATCGTGTTTAGTCCTTTATCTACATTCTGCACACATCTCCCATCCCGACTGGTTCCTCAGGCCATCATTTTCTTAGTGAACCCTTCTCTATTCCAACTGCCTTCTCCCCTTTGCTCATGAGGCAGGCTTCCAGCTATGGAGCAATCTATCTGTCCCGTGTATCTACTATCCTTAGGTGTCAACCTCATGTTATGTTGTTTTGTACTCCACAAAGGAGTACAATCCTTCTATGTCTGTCCCTCTCTTTCTGACTCATTTCACTTAGCATGATACTCTCCATGTCTATCCATTTATAAGCAAAGTTCATGACTTCATCTCTCCTGACAGCTGCACAGTTTTCCACTGTGTAGATTTATCAAAGTTTCTTTAACCAGTCATCTGTTCTAGGGCATTTGTGTAGATTTACCAAAGTTTCTTTAACCAGTCATCTGCTCTAGGGCACTTGGGTTGTTTCCAGGTTTTGGCTATTGTGAACAGTGCTGCAATGAACATATAGGTACAGATGTCATTTCTACTGTGCTTTTTTGCATCCTCAGGATATATTCCCAGAAAACTTTTATTTTTTAAAAATTCCAGGGCTGAGATGAGAAATAGCACAGCAGGTAGGGTGTTTGCCTTGCACATGGCCGACCCAGGTTCGGTTCCCAGCATCACATAGGGTCCCCCAAGCACCACTAGAAGTAATTCCTGAGTGCATGATTCAGGAGTAACCCCTGTGCATTGTCAGGTGTGAACCCCCAAAAAAAGAAAAAATTAAAATTTCAGGGCTGCTATAAGGATACCCATGACATTTTTCAAAGAAATAGACAAAACACTGCTGAAATTCATATGGAACAATAAACCCCCAAAAATAGCTAAAGTAATCCTTGGGGAAAAGATGATGGGAGGCATCACTTTCCCCAACTTCAAACCATACTACAAAGAACTAGTAATCAAAACAGTATGATACTGGAATAGAGACAGGCCTGCATACCACTGGAATAAAATTGAATATAATGACACAGACCCTCAAATATATGATCACTCAATCTTTGACAAAGGAGCAAAAAATGTGAAGTGGATCAAGGAAAGCCTCTTCAAAAGTGGTACTGGGACACCTCTGGACAACTATATGCAAAAAAAATGAACTCAGACCTCTGTCTAACGCCAGGCACAAAAGTCACAAAATGATTAAGGACCTCAACATCAGACCTGAATCTATAAGTTTCATGGAAGAAAACATAGGCAGAACCCTCCAGGACATTGAAGCTAAAGGCATCTTTAAGGATAAAACACCACTCATCAAGCAAGTGGAAGCAAAGATAAACAAATGGGACTACATTAAACTAAGAAGCTTCTACACCTAAAAAGAAATGGTGAACAAGATACAGAGACAGTCCACGAATGAGAAAAATCATTCACCCATACTCATCAGATAAAGAGTAAACATTCAAAATATATAAGACACTGGTAGAAATTTTTAAGGAAAAAAAAACCTCCAACTCCATCAAAAATGGGGAGGGGAAATGAATAGAAATGTCCTCAAAGACAAAATACAAATGGCCAAAAGGCACATGATAAAATGCTCTACATCATTAATCATCAGGGAAATGCAAATCAAAACAATAATGAGATATCATCTTACACCACAGAGACTGGCACACATCAAAAAGAACAAGAACAACCAGTGCTGGCATGGATGTGGGGAGAAAGGGACTCTCATTCATTGCTGGTGGGAATGCCAACTGGTCCATCCTTTTTGGAAAAAAAATATAGGCATTCCTCAAAAAGCTAGAAATTGAGTTTCCATATGACCCAGCAATACTACTTCTGGAAATATACCCCCGGGGTGCAAAAACACACAGCAGAAATGACATCTGCACATGTATGTTAATTGCAGCATTGTTCACAATAGCCAGAATCTGGAAACAACCTGAGTGCCCGAGAACTTTCAACTGGTTAAAGAAACTATGGTACATCTACACAATGGAACACTATACAGCTATTAGGGGGGAAAATTAAGTCATGAAATTCACTTATAAATTGATAGACCTGGAGAGCATCATGCTAAGTGAAACAAGTCAGAAGGAGAAGGACAGAGATATCATGACTGCACTCATTTGTGGGATATTTAAAAAAAAATAAAACATAGTATGAGACTAAACACCCAAGGACAGTAAAAACAAGGGCCAGGATGAATAGTCCAGGTTGGAAGCCTGCCTCAAGGGCTGGGGGAGAAGGCAGTTGGGATAGAGGAGGGACCATTATAACAATGATGGTTGGAAGGGATCGCTCTAGATGGGAAATGTGTGCAGAAAGTGGGTAAAGGAACAAACATGATGGTTTCTCAAGAAGAAAAAAAATTCCCTTTCATAGAGGCAGGCTGGGGGGAGAGGGAGGAAGAGGGGCAGGCAGGAGGGATAGAGGTGATATTGTTTGTCTGTCTGTCCTCCTGTGATTCATTGATTTGCTCGAGCAGGCACCAGTCTCAAATTGTGAGACTTGTTACTGTTTTTGGCATATCAAATACATCACGGGTAGCTTGCCAGGCTTTGCCATGTGGGCGAGATACTCTCGGTAGCTTGCCTGGCTCTCCGAAAGGGGTGGAGGAATCAAATCCGGGTAGGACATGCGCAAGGCAAGTGCCCTACCTGCTGTGCTATCACTCCAGAGGTGATATTGGTAGTGGGAAATGTACACTGGTGGAGGGATGGATGTTAGAACATTGTATGACTAAAACCTGATCATGAAAGCTTTTTAACTGTATCTCACAGTAATTCAATTAAAAAACTTCATTACAAAATTTTTTAATTCCAGGCTGGAGAGATACTACAGCAGGTAAGGCACTTGTCTTGCATGTGGTCAACCCAGGGTTTGATCTCTGACATCCCATATGGTAACCTGAACCCCACCAGGAGTCATCCCTGAATGATACCTGAGTGCAAAGCCAGGAGTAAGCCCTTGAGAACTGCTGGGTGTGGACCCGAAACTGAGAGGGAAAAATTCAAATGAATGAATATAGCAGCAGAAAATGGTATGGCTCAATCTTAGCAGTAATATTTAAGGAAGTAAATCATGAATGATTCTGATATGGTTTTTATAAAATTAGAGTCAATGAAAGTAGTTGATCCAAAGCAGAAAACTGTGAAACATGAGACTATATGAAAACACAGAGCTGTACAAAAAGCAAAGTAACAGCAAACATAGGACAGACTCAAGTGACGGAAGCAGGAGCCAGGGGCGCTGGCTGTGAGATGTACCACTCACAAACATCAGTGTTTTCTCATTTCTTGTTTCTCGTTTGCTCTTGGATTTCTCAGTGCTTCTTTCCACTGAGAACTCTCAGTTCATGGGGAATTTGGGAGGAATCGGGCGCCCGTGCCTCTCACCTTGACACCTGTGGCCATGTCTGCTGTGGAAATAACTTCTCCTATGACAAGGCTTCGACTGACAAAATTCTTTGTTTTCTCCACCTAAAAACAGGACAGACCCAATGTCAACATTTCCTGAGGGTTCTCTAAGCTTTCAAATCAACACTTTTTTTAAAATGTGATTTAGATTTGTTTGTTTGTTTGTTTTTTATTAGTGAAACACCATGAGGTACTGTTAGAGACTTAGAAATTTTTGTGCTTGGATTTCAGTTATACAATGATCAAGTACCCACCCCTCCACCAGTGCCCATTTTCCACCACCACGGGTCCCAGTATCCCTCCCATCCCCCATCCCCCCATCCCACCTTGCCTCTGTGGCAGGGCATTCCCTTTTGTTCTCTCTTTATCCTTTTGGGTGCTGTGGTTTGCAAGAGAGGCATTGAGTGGCAATCATGTTTGGTCTATAGTCTACTTTCAGCATGCTTCTCCCATCCTGGGAGGTCCTCCCAACACCCTTTATTTGGTGCTCCCTTCTCTATCTGAGCTCCCTTTTCCCCTAGCATGTGTGGCTGGCCTCCAAGCCATGGAGCAAACCTCCTGGTACTAATCTCGGCCACTCTTGGGTGTTAGTCTCCTATTTTGTTACTTTATGTTCCCCAGATGAATGCAATCTTTCTGTGTCTATCCCGCTCTTTCTGACTCATTTCGCTTAACATGATACTTTCCATATAGTACCACTTGTATGTAAATTTCATGACTTCATCTTTTCTAACAGCTACATAGTACTCCATTGTGTAGATGTACCAAAGGTTCTTTAACCAGTCATCTGTTCTTGGGCACTCAGGTTTCTTCCAGTTTCTGGCTATTGTAAAGAGTGCTGCAATGAACAAACAAGTGCAGATGTCACTTCAACTATACATTTTTGCCTCTCTGGGATATTTTCCCAGGAGTGGTATTGCTGGGTCAAATGGGAGCTCAATTTCTAATTTTTTGAGGATCGTCCATACTGTTTTCCAAAAGGGTTGAACCAGTCAGCATTCCCACCAGCAGTGAAGGAGGGTCCCTTTCTAGCCACATCCGCGCCAGCACTGGTTGCTTTTGTTCTTTTGGATGTGGGCTAGTCTCTGTGAAATGATATCTCATTGTGGTTTTGATCTGCATCTCCCTGATGATTAATGATGTAGAGAATTTTCTCATGTGCCTTTTAGCCATTCGGATTTCTTCTTTGAGAAAGTTTCTGTTCATTTCGTTGTCCCATTTTTTGATGGGGTTGGTTGTTTTCTTCTTGTGGAGTTCAACCAGTACCTTGTATATCCTTGATATCAACCCCTTGTCGGATGTGTACTCGGCGAATATCCTTTCCCATTTTCTAGACTGTCTTTGTATTTTGGTCACTGTTTCTTTTGAGGTGCAGAAGCTTCTTAGTTTAAGATAGTCCCATTTGTCTATCTCTGTTTTCACTTGCTTGGCCAGTGACGTGACATCTTCGAAGATACCATTAGCTTCAATATCATTTTGTATAAAAATTAATGTTCCTTTACTCATATAAAAATCAACACATTTTTAAATTAAGAAATAACTCCACCATCTTGGCTATGTAAAAGTTCTCATGAGATAAAGAAAGGAAGAAAAAAGGAAGGAAGGAAGGAAGGAAGGAAGGAAGGAAGGAAGGAAGGAAGGGAGGGAGGGAGGGAGGAAGGAAAAGAAAGAGAGAGGGGAAGGAAGGAAGGAAGGAAGGAAGGAAGGAAGGAAGGAAGGAAGGAAGGAAGGAAGGAAGAGAAGGGGGGGGAGAACTGCATTTACTCAGAGGCCACTCACCTCCCAGATTCCCCTTCCAAAGGCCCAGCATGGTTTTGACCCTGTTTGGCCCTCTAGGCTTCCCAAGCCCCCCGCTTTTTTCTCTATACAGGGGCACACCCTGATTCTACCCAGTGATGTCACGTGCAGAGCTGCAGGGTGTCAATGCTGCTGGCAAGATCCCAGGAACTGTGACGCAAGGGCAATCCTGAAGTGAGGACAGAGGGCTGACAGGTTCAGGGAAATTATGAACACAGGAAAAGTAATGTTCTCCACTTTCCCTTCTAACCATACACCCTCTCCTGACTTTGATTTTTCAACAGTGCAAGTCCTGATCCCTTCCTTGTTCATTTTTCACTGGCTGTACCCCATACACTCACATCCAAAGCTTTGAGAGTGCCTTTGCTCCACCCATGAGGAGTGAGAGGCCAAGAATAAATAGCTCTTGGTTTTCTGAGACCCTTTTCTGGTCATAGGCACTGTGATGATGTATGATCTTGGGAGAGGAACATCACACATGCCCTTGGCTATAGGACATGCACAGTGTAAACTGGGATGCGTGTAGGGGTCACACTCTTTAGTTGTGTAGCTTGAGCACGTTCTGATTGTTATGCTCACTTGGGGTAACTGTGGTATTCAGACAGGCTGACCAGCAGTTGCTCTTCCTGGTCATGGTGCCCACACATCAAATCAAGCCCCTTTCGTTGTGGTGGCCAGAATCTGCTTGAAGAATCAGAGATTATGGATAGCAAGAGCAACCAGGACTGCCTGAGTCAATCTGGGGATCACCAAGCATTGAATTTGAAATTCTGGCCCTATGCGTGCAACGTAGGCATGCTAAATCCTGAACTAACCTCTGTGCCCTACTTTTTCTTGGGAGGTGGGTGACGTTGGGCCATGCCCGGCAGTGCTCAGGAATAACTCCTTGTAGTGCTCAGGGGACCTTACGTGGTGCTGGGGATAAAACCCAGGTCAGACACATGCAAGGCAAGAGTCTTCCCTGCTGTAAAATCTCTCCAGTCTGCCCAACTATCACTTTTTCTAATTCAGGAGTCAAGTTTCCTTAGAAGGTGGTGTGGCTTCAGTGTACACACAGCCATTATCAATTGTGGGAAATAATTCTAGTCTTCTATAGCTACCAGCCTCCTTGGAGCCAGCCAATAGAACTTGATGCTGTTTTCCATTGATGTGTATGTACTTGCCATGTAGTAGTGTAAACTTTTCTTTTGCTTTTTGGGTCACACTTGGTGATGCACAAGGGTTACTCCTGGATTTGCACTCAGGAATCACTCCTGGCAGTACTCAGGGGACCATATGGGATGCGGGGAATCGAACCCAGGTCGGCCATGTGCAAGGGAAACACCCTACCCACTGTGTTATCCCTCCGGTCCTAGTAGTGTAAACTTTTGTGTATGCATGCTCTCTGAGTAGGACAACAAATGATCTCAGTTTCCACATGGGCTTCCTCTCTCCCAACACTTCCCTCCTGTAGGCTTTTACAATACTTTCTCTCAAACATTATTAATTTTAATTGAAGAGCAGACAGTCAAGACTTATGACTCTTACTGTGGCTCCAACCCAATGCATCTTGTATTGGTTATTTCCCAAAATATCTCCAGGCATGAGTAGGAACCATTGCGTGGTTCTGGCCTCAGCTCACACTGGTGAGTTAGTTACCAGCAAATAATGAAAAACAACTGTAGCACAAATGTGTGGACTCTTTTCAGAGCGCCCATATGCCCTCTGTCCAAGGTCCCTCCCAACAATCCTGTCTGACAAACTCAGTCCAAGGACTGACTCCATGCAAAAGACGGAAAAATATGCTCAGCAAACGTTAGTGATTGGCCCAACCAGGGTCACCAACCATGGCACAGCAATGACCAGAAACCAGATCTTCTGATTCCTCACATGAACTTTGGTTGTACCCTCACTGCCCTCCACTGTTAAGGTGGACAAAGGCCTGTACTCCAGAAGGCCCATCCTCCAGCACTGGCTCATCTCTAGTTAGCAAGACCAGCCTTGTCTCTAGGAAGCACTGGACATGAATGCACCTTAGTGTCCTGGTGAGTTCCTAAAAGTCACCCACCCAGCATCTTCACAGCCAGCCCTTCCTCACCTTGACCCTTCTGCTCTGCTCTAACTATACCTAAGGTAAAGGTAAAAAGGTAAAGGCCCTCCCGTTGATCGTCGATTTGCTCGAGCGGGCCCAGTAACGTCTCCATTGGAGACTTTGTTGTTACTGTGTTTGGCATATCAAATACTCTCGGTAGCTTGCCGGGCTCTCCGAGAGGAGCGGAGGAATAGAACTCGGGTCGGCCATGTTGGCCGCTTGTAAGGCGAACGCCCTACCACTGTGCTATCACTCCAGCCCAACTATACCTAAGCCTTCCCAATCTCCAGCTGCTTATAGTTTTCTTCTTATTTTACTCTATGTATAATGCCAATGCAGAGTGTAATTGTCATTAATATTATCCAGCCATGGTCATTTTTACTTAGCTTGAAATAAATAACCATTGTCTTTGCTGTAGAATCAATCCCACATTTAGCCCTCTTGGAGCATAATAAATTGTTTCTGACAATTATCTTCTTCCCCCAGTCTCTGCACCAGACTGTGATCTTTTCTAGTATATCCTCTGGAGAATGCCAATAGGAGTTAATCTCCTGATGTTGACTGAAGCACTCATTAGAATCAGTGCATCTCAGGAAGTCAAACAAAAGTCCCAGAACTGAGACTAAAATTAATTTGATTGACAACCTTGCCAGCACATATTTTTAATAATTTCTCCACACATAAGCTCTTTGTCTTTAATTTTCCCCATTCTTCTTTCCCTTCTGATTGACTAGTTGTTCTCTAAAATCAACAAGAGTTATGTTTCATAAAATTCAATAGTAACTGGCTGTCTACACTGATAATGGTTCATCAATACCATGTTCTTCTGCACACATTTTTTGCAGTACTTCAACTGTATAGATAACTTGCTTTATTTATGCTTGATGCATTCAAGCCAGATTCAATCCCAAAACCAGTATGTTAGTTTGTAGTAAGTTAAATAATAACGATTCAATAAGTACATGAATAATATACTCAGGATTTTATTTGGTCGTACATTTTTTCCCTTTGGTTTTTGGGTCACAAAAGTGCCCAGGGATTACTGCTGGCTCCGTAAGGGATCACTCCTGGCAGTGCTTGGAAGACCATCAAAAGAGGACCGGTGGAGTGCAAGGCAAGTGCTCTCTGTACTCTCTCACATGTTGTACTCTCCCTCTCTCTAGCCCCCTCTGTTTAATCCTAAATTACTTTCTAT